CAGCCTCCCAAAGTGCTGGGATTAGAGGTGTGAGCCACCACGCCCAGTCCTTTTTCTTTTTCTTTTTTTTAAACATAACGTCTTACTCTGTTGCCCAGGCTAGAGTGCAGTGGCCCCATACTGGCTCACTGCAACCTCTGCCTCCTGGGTTTAAGCGATTCTCCTGCCTCAGACTCCTGAGTAGCTGGGATTACAGGCACCTGCCACCCTGTCCAGCTCATTTTTTTTTAGAAGACACAGGGTTTCACCATGTTGGCCAGGCTGGTCTTGAACTCCTGACCTGAAGCAATCAGCCCATCTCAGCCTCCCAAAGTGGTAGGATCACAGGTATGAGTCATCATGCCCAGCCAAGAACTCTTTTCATTGAAAATAAAACTCTATACCCATTAAACAACATCTCCCAAGGTCCTGTTTAATTTCCTCCAAATATATATATTTTTTGGGGGGGATCAAAAGACGTCATAGTCTACGGAAAACCTTTTCACACTTTCCCAGTGTCTGTCACCTAAAGCAAATGACTATGAAATAAATATCATCAAATTCTGCAAAATTATTGAGGCTTTTCAATTTACTTAAAAGTTGTACTTGTCTCTGGTTTGCCTACTTTTAGGAACTAGAGTTATGGGTAAATATTTGGCTGGTGCTTTTCAGACTTTTCTCTCAAGGAGAATCTCTAAAAACAGCGAGAGAATGTTTCCCATCAGCACCCCCTGCCAGTGGATCTGGGGGCATCTTGCAGAGGCCTGCTCCAAGTGAGGCACTTCATTGACATGTGGTCTGACCTGATGTGTTTTTTTTTTTTTTTTTTTTTTTTTTGAGACGGAGTTTCACTCTTGTTACCCAGGCTGGAGGGCAATGGCGCGATCTCGGCTCACCACAACCTCCGCCTTCTGGGTTCAGGCAATTCTCCTGCCTCAACCTCCTGAGTAGCTGGGATTACAGGCACGCACCACCATGCCCAGCTAATTTTTTGTATTTTTAGTAGAGACGGGGTTTCACCGTGTTGACCAGGGTGGTCTCGATCTCTTGACCTTGTGATCCACCCGCCTCGGCCTCCCAAAGTGCTGGGATTACAGGCTTGAGCCACCGCGCCCGGCCCTGATGTTTTATTTTTAACAATTATAATGCAGCAATATGATTTGCAATAATGAAAAATTGGGGCCAGGTGTGGTGGCTCACACCTGTAATCCCAGCACTTTGGGAGGCTGAGGCAGGAGGGTCACCTGAGGCCAGGAGTTCAAGACCAACTGGGCCAACATGGTGAAACCCTGTCTCTACTAAAAATACAAAAATTAGCTGGGTGTGGTGGCACGGGAGGCTGAGGCAGAACTGCTTGAACCTGGGAAGTGGAGATTGCAATGAGCCAAGATGGCGCCACTGCACTCCAGCCTGGGTGACAGAGTGAGATCCGTCTCAAAATTAAAAATTAATTTAAAAAATTAGGCGAGACATGGTGGCTCACAATTGTAATCCCAGCACTTTGGGAGGCTGAGGTGGGCAGATGACTTGAGGTCAAGAGTTCGAGACTAGCCTGGCCAACATGGTGAAACCACGTCTCTACTAAAAATAAAAAAAATTAGCTGGGTGTGGTGGTGGGCGCCTGTAATCCCAGCTACTCGGGAGGCCGAGGCAGAAGAATTGCTTGTACTTGGGAGGTGGAGGTTGTAGTGAGCCAAGATTGTGCCACTTCACTCCAGCCTGGGCAATAAGAGTGAAACTGTCTCAAAAAAATTAAAATAAAAAATAAAAAGAAAATAAAGTCAGCCTTGAAAAGGATGGAAATTCTGACACATGCAACAACATGGATGAACCATGAAGACATTACCATGCTGAATGAAATAAAGGACTCCCAAAAAGACAAAGACAACATGATTCGACTTATATGAGGTACCTAGAGCAGTCAAGTTCCTACGGACACAGAGCAGAACAGTGGTTGCCTGTGGCTGGTAGGGTGAAAGTGGGAGTTACTGTTTAATGGGTACGCAGTTTCAGTTTTGCAAGATGAAAAGGGTCCTAGAGATCTGTTGCACAACAATGTGAGTATACCTAACACTACTGAACTGTATGGTTAAAATGGTTAGGATGGTAAATTTTATATGTATTTTATTTTTGAGACACAGTTTTACTCTTCCTTTTTTTTTTTTTTAAAGATGGGGTTTCACCATGATGACCAGGCTGGTCTTGAACTCCTGACCTCAGGTGATCCACCCGCCTTGGCCTCCCAAAGTGCTGAGATTACAGGTGTGAGCCGCCGCACCTGGCCCACAGTTTTACTCTTGTTGCCCAGGCTGGAGTGCAATGGCACGATCTCGACTCACTGCAACCTCCACTTCTCAGGTTCAAGATATTCTCCTGCCTCAGCTTCCTCTGTAGCTGGGATTACAGGCACCCGCCACCACGCCAAGCTAATTTTTGTATTTTTAGTAGAGACAGGTTTTCACCATGTTGGCCAGGCTAGTCTCGAACTCCTGACCTCAGATGATCTGCCCACCTCGGCCTCCCAAAGTGCTGGGATTACAGGCATGAGCCACTGCGCCTGGCCTGTTATATGTATTCTATTACAATTTTTTTTAAAGAGAACAAATCTACCTATGCTAACATGGTTAAATCTTTATGATTCCTTGCTAAGTGGAAGACATTTTTTTAAAAGTGAAACAAACCAAGACAGTATTATCTGTAATATTTCCATGAGTACATACATTAGGTATGTGCATACAAAAATGTCTGGAAAGATATACATCAAATTGGTAAGAATAATTAGCTTTGGAGAGGGCCAGGTGTGTGGGGGTGGGTGGTCAAAGGTGTTTTAGCTGTAATTTTTGTTTAAAGGGGAGTATGTTAATGTAATTATGAACTAATAAAAAGAATATTCCCCTTCTAAAAATCCAGGTAAAACAGATGTTCCAGGTATACACACCATGTTCAGTGTACAGCTTTGCTTACCCAGGACACAGTGCTTGTGCCCCTAGTTCAAGAGAATCATGTAACTGTTCGAACAACCCTGACAGCACCCTGAGGGCTAAGTTATAGCTCTACTGAGCCATCTACATTTCTTCAAATCTGCAAGATTCTTAAGTGCCCCAGTTCACAAGGGGAAGAACATCTTTCTAAGGTGGTGGAAAAAGTTAAGAGTTCCAGAGTAAGGGCCAGGCACAGTGGCTCACGCCTATAATCCCAACACTTTGGGAGGCTGAGGGGAGCAGATCATTTGAGGTCAGGAGTTTGAGACCAGGCTAGCCAGCATGGTGAAACCCTGTGTCTACTAAAAATACAAAAATTAGCTGGGTGTGGTGATGCATGCATGTAGTCCCAGGAGAATTGCTTGAACTCGGAAGGCAGAGGTTGCAATGAGCCAAGATCGAGCCACTGCTGTCCAGGATGGGCGACAGTGTGAAACTCTGTCTCAAAAAAAAAAGAGCTCCAGAGTGAGCAACTGAGTTTTCCATGACCTGGTGCTTAACAGCACTGATTACATGAAACAGACATCTGTAATGAAGTTGATGACAATGAAATGTCTGGTTCCTACCTGCCACCCTATGTCCCAAGCTTGCCTGTAAGTGGTCTGTAGATACCGAGAATTGGCACACAGTCTTGACAACAGAATCACAGGTGGGAAAAGTAACTTGAGCAAAATGATGCTCCCCTCCCAAAACAGATGTCCCAGTGAACACAAAATGGGAGACTTTCTGGGAAACATTTACCAAAACACTTTTGGCTAGTCACTTCTGAAAGAACAAATGATTCCACAGTTGCCAGCCAAATGATCTTGTGGAATAAATGAGCAGCGTTTGTTCTGGCTTAGCTGTCACATGCTTGGACAAGAATACAAGGTACAGTAATGGCAATGATTCACATTTTCTTTCTCAAACAAATTCACATCAATTATTTCAACTCATCCAATTAGGAATTTGTTTACTCAGAACAGCAGGAAAGACAGTGCTGAGTTAGTTGATTCTTTAAAGTGATACCATCCACTCAACAAACAGTTCCTCTGGGTCAAGGCCACTTCCAATGAGGGACCTTTCCTGACCACATTTTCTCAATAACCCTGATATACGACATGCTTGATCCTTTCCCATCAGTTATTTTATCATAAAATGGGAGTGATAAAATTTTATCATAAAATGGAACTGATGGGAAAGGGCAGACAGGCAGGAGTCTCATCTGTCCAGTGCCCAGCATGAAGCAGTCGGATATTTTGTAAAACAGATGGTGTGCTGTGAGGTGCCTTAATATAAGCTGATAGAAAAACAAGGAACTTTCGGGCCGGGCGCGGTGGCTCAAGCCTGTAATCCCAGCAACTTTGGGAGGCCGAGGCAGGTGGATCATGAGGTCAAGAGATCGAGACCATCCTGGTCAACACGGTGAAACCCCGTCTCTACTAAAAATACAAAAAATTAGCTGGGCATGGTGGCGCGTGCCTGTAATCCCAGCTACTCAGGAGGCTGAGGCAGGAGAATTGCCTGAACCCAGGAGGTGGAGGTTGCAGTGAGCCCAGATCGCGCCATTGCACTCCAGCCTGGGTAACAAGAGCGAAACTCCGTCCCCCCCCCCCCAAAAAAAAAAAAAAGAAAAAAGAAAAAAAAAGAAAAACAAGGAACTTTCATTAGCTGATGCACACCACCATGCCCGGCTATTTTTTTTTTGTATTTTTAGTAGGACGGGGTTTCGCTATGTTGACCAGGCTGGTCTCAAACTCCTGACCTCAGGTGATCCACTCGCCTTGGCCTCCCAAAGTGCGGAGATTACAGGCGTGAGCAACTGCATCCAGCCCAAATATTAATTTTTTCAACAAAAGTTTCAGAAGAATGGCAGCCGGAATACAAGCAGTGACGCTGAAGAGTGAAACTACCTGGAACTTAACATTAGGTCATTTAAAAGGCCTTTCTGGATTTCACAATGCTTCCGAGCATCAGTGTATTTGTCCAGTGGTTGTAATAATCTTTGTGGTCTTAGCCTACATTCTGCATGTGGGATAGTAAAGTATTTTTAATACCACTAGATTTTTAACTCATTCTACATGAATTCTACCAGTATGTAAGTATGATATTACTCCTATCAAGCTGTCTTTTGACTTCACAGGGAAAACGAATTAGAGGCATCTAAAAAACAGGGCAAATTATTTATCACTTCTTTTTTTTTTTTTTTTT